ACAAGCCCGGTATTGGAAACCTGGCCAATTACCCAGGGGCAGTGAAGTTGCGGATCTTTGGAGAAGAATCTACAACCACCACTTTACCAAACCAGCCCAACCCCTAACTCCATTCTAAATATTTGTCCTCAGACCCACAGGTGAGTAGAGTTCTCACCTCCCATCGAGGAAACTTCTTTTTGTAACAGATGGAGAGCATTACGGTGAACTACAACCAATCACAGTGCCGTGGAGGCCAGTCCCAATGAGTACGGAACACCCCGGCCCCTGAGGTTCGGGGAACATTAATGAAAGGGGACGGAAAAACTGTAGAGCCGGAGGATGAGGGGGGTTTCTGTCCGATGGAGCCCCAGCACCATGGGGATCTTACTTCTAAGAGTCTCAGTCTGCAGTTGACCGCGGGAAACCGAAGCCCCCGAGGGCAATCACAGGTAGGCAACTAACGGGAAGAGAATCTAATGGGACATCGTCAGCTCAGTATTTAGAGTCATGCAGAAACCAAGTCTGTTTCATTCTGTCTAAGAAGGCTGTGGCAAACTGAGAAACAACAATCTACGTTAGCTGCCTGGGGGAATCAAACTTAAAAAAAAAAAAAGGCACAAGAGGAGAAAAAGCAGGACAGAAATGCTGCAAACGCTTTACATCCTTGCTTTACATCTTACAGGTGCCCCCCTGTAAAAGGTCTCTGACTGTGGACACCAATTGTACAATAGGACGTTGCTGAGACCATAACTGCAAGATTAAGTATGGATGCGAGAACAGCACTGTGTCAGGCCTTTTGGATTTGATCATTACACTGCAGTTACACACACAGTCTTAGCAACTCTACACTGAGGGTGATGGGCACTCAGATGGTTGAGAATAGGTGTGTGTGCGTGTGTGCGTGTGCGTGTGCGTGCGTGCGTGTGTGTGTGTGTGTGTGTGTGTGTGTGTACACATGCATGCATGCCCAGGTGCATGCACTCCTGTGTAGGTGGGCACATGCATGAAGAGAGACAGCACATGGAAGCAAAGTGCTGAAAATCGACTAACCCAAGTAAAGAATAGCTAGGAGTTCTTGGTGCTTTAAAAAAATAACTTTAATTTCAATTGTTTTTCATATTCCTCGCCAAGACAATTGCCATGGGAGAAATCTGCTATGATTTGGATATGATCTAAGTGTGTTTTCCAGAGGAGTTCATGGCTGGAGGCTTGGTCTCCAGTGTGGGGTTGCTGGGGTGGTGGGACCTTTAAGAGGTGAGGCCTAGAGCCGGGGGACCTGGTGGGGGGTTCACCAGGGCTGAACAGATATGGCTTCATCTTCCTAGACTGGGACCAGCTAAGCCTGTTTTCTCTATAAAGTAATCAGTCTCGGCTACTTTCTCATGATACCCACAAACAAATGAAGATACGTTCATGTTCTCAAAAGGTTTCAAGCTTCTAGTGTGAGAGATTCCAGAACTGCTCGTCTGGTGCAAGTAGAAACACCTTTCTGACCAGCACCCCCAGCACCTCCAGTACCCCAGCACCCTAGCATGCCCAGCACCTCCAGCACACCCTAGCATTTCTAGCATGCCCCAGCATCCACTTTAATATCTGTTCTGTGGACTCTGGTAACCTAGCGTCATTTCACCTCAGAATTGACTTGTCTGTGAGAGTCCTTTTCTCTATTGGTTGGTGGGCACTGTGTACACAAGACATATTCCCGACCCTACACATTAAAGTCAAGGTGGTTCTTAACCCTCCACAGGCACAACACTTCCCAGGGGCATCCTTTTAAAAGGATGCATATTTCTGAGGCCCTCTCTACTGAGTGACTGAGGGGCTCAGGAATCTGTATTTTTTTTTTTTTTAAACAAACCCTTGTTTTTCTTTCTTGTGAGTGGACTATGGGCCTTGTTTTGATCAACACTGTTCTTCAGCCTCCTTCAGCTCAGGCATCCCCTAAAATTTCTTAGGTTTAATTTGAATTTACCAAAGCTAACCAGAGCTAAGAAAACCATCCTGCCCTCACAGTCTGGGCATGAAAACAGGGCTAAACCCTACTCATCCCATAGGGCGACATGCTTCCTAGGCTGTCCTTAACTCAAAAACATAGCCTCCAAGGGATCAGCTTCATGTCTGAGGTAGGTGTGTGGCACAGGTTTCTATGTGGCTTCTCTCGCCATCTCCGCCCTCTCTCATTATCTGTCTGTCTAGTCTCTTGTCGGTACACAGAAGCGAGACCCTTGAGCCATGGTTGTGGGGAAGGTGGTTTTAGCCTTAATTGAACCCTTCTCTCTCTACTGCTCACCTCTCTGTGGATCTGCACAAGGAGGTAGTGCACTTTGCAGCAGGTAATACGGTTAACGAACTGCCCGTCACAGCTCAAATCAAAAGCAGAACCCAGCCTTGCCAGTGTCTGGGCCCACACACTTGATCCTTTTCCCCTACAAGTCACACAGGCCCAGGTCGCCCTGTGTGCTCAGTATTTTATAGCCAACAGGGTAGCTGTCGAGAGAAAAGTGGGCTGGAGGATGTGACTAAACAGCCCCCAATGCACACAGTACCATTCTCCCTCCGTTCCATCTACACCTCCCCGGGGCAGCTACTTCAGAGGTTGAACTCCATGCAAGAAGCTACCATTGGTTCACCAAGCAGTCGGAGAGAGCAACTCAAAAGATGAGCCACTACAGTGACCTACAGCTGGGTCACCATGGCATTTAGTCACACCTGCCCCTTAGTTCTTTCTGCCAGAGAAACAAAAAACAAGAAAACTAGACATTTTAGCTTATAGTTTATACTTATTTTTGGCTTTTGTATTTATCTAACCCACTAAGTAATAAAAAAAAACCCAATCCCCTCAAAACAAACAAACAAACAAACAAACAAACAAACAAACAAACAACAAAGATATCACTGAGTGTTCTTATAGGAGCTGGAACTCAGAACTCATAGACATCCTTCCAGGAAAGGCAAAAAGCTCACTAGATCATGTGTCCTTTGTTCATATCTATGTTTAAGAATTCAGAAGTAAAGTTATATGATGGAGTGAGTTTAGAGGCAGGACAGAAATTTTTACTTGAAAATGTTGCAGAGGCATTTAGCAAGGGGGTAAGCCAGGGGCCTATTACCAAGATATATGGGTTAATAATTTCATGGGGCTACTCAAGAATGATCTGCTATGATTGAAACCATGTGTGGAGAGTTTGGGCTTCTGCAGGATGTGTCACGGTGACAAAGGCCCTAAAGATAGATCTGTGCTGCCTGCGAAGGACACAGATGATTGGCTTAGATACACTTCCCAGACATAAACAGTAAAGGAATGCCCTGAAGTTCTGCATGCTATCAGGTAGAAGGGGAATGCTTACCACATTGTACAAGCCGATGCACCAGCGCTCAAATAAAATCTGCCCAGAAAATCCATTAACAAAGGCGAACCAAAGCTGTAAGAGAACAAAGTTCGTCAAGTTTTATATCAATATTGACCTAAATGTTTCCACTCACTGGAGAAGGAGCAGGGAATGCGGACCACCAGCTGGACACAGCTGCCTCCTGAGAGAATCTGTGTGCCAGGATTATGGCAATTATCCTTTCAAGGGATATAAATTCCCAATATCATAAATATCAATATCTTAAAGAAAATTTATATTAAGGATGCACCAACTTTGGGAGGTCATATATGCCATGTTTACAGGGAAATGAACCGATATCAAATATGTTTTTTGAGTCAACACTTTCTGGTTGACTGAAAGTGTCTGAACTTCATGCATTTTCCCCTATAAAACTGATTTGATAAATATGATTTTTCTTTGTAGGATTTTATCAAATAGCTAAAGATCATAACTAATTAAAAAACCAAGAAACACTTCTGTTGGCCATATGTGTTTTTAGTTGACAAAATAGACAAAATAATAACTTCCTTGATTGACTGTCTACCACCTCGCCAAAAGTCAACACACAATGTTAAGAAACAAACACACTTAAATCATCTTTCATGGTAACATGGAGGTATTAGTGAATAAAATGCTGGATTATCATTCATGAGCAGCTATGGAACAGAGTGCTGTATACTAGACAGCAGATTAATATCTAAAATATATAAAGCTCTTAAAAAATAAACACTAAATAAACAAACATTTCAATCATTGAATGAGGAAAGGAATTAATTGGACAGATTGTTCTCAGAAGATGATGTAAAATGGCCAGTAAACACATGAGAAAAACAGTCAGCAACCTTAGCCATCGGGGATATGCAAATTAAACTACAATCCATCTCAATCAGAATGACATCATCAAGAAACAAATGGCAACTGTGGTGGTGTGAATAAGACTGCCCCCCAAAGGCTCACAGATTTGAATGCCTGGTTAACACAAGAGTGGCAATATTTAAAAGGATTTGGAGGTGTGGTGCCGTGAAATAATCCTTTTGTACACTGTAAAGATTTGTCACTTGGATTGGTTTAATAAAAAGCTGATTGGCTGACAGCCAGGCAGGAAGTATAGGCGGGGCAATCAAACTGAGGATGCTGGGATGAAGAAGGGCAGAATCAGGAGAGTTGTCAGCAGATGCAGAGAAGCAAGATGGGCGTGCCGTACTGAGAAAAGGTACCAAGTCATGTGCAGAGAGGGTAGATCAGAAATATGGGTTAATTTAAAGTGTAAGAATTGGCTAGTAATGAGCCTGAGCTATTGGCCAAGCATTTACAATTTACAAAAAAACTCTTGTGTGGTTATTTGGGCACACTGCTGGGACAAAAAACTCTGCCTACAAATGGCATTCCAACATGGGGCCAGAATTTCCATGTGAAGCCTGACAGAGCTTTGAAAAAGGGTTCTAGACACACAGAAACAAAGCAAGAGCAGCTTCCTA